ATGGATGAAGCTCTAGGCCTGGAGCCTTTTGACTGGGAGACTCCGTATGTGTTCGGAATTTGAGTAAATCAAGTTGGTGCTGACTCTTGTTGTACCATTCACAGTGCTTCCGAACTGCTGACTAGCATCTTTGGCAGCATTCCCACCGCCCGCCCGGACAACTCATCGGATCCTTCCGTACCGGGTGGTTTTGCTTCGCTTGAAGGTACCTACAACCATCCGGGATACGGAGACTGGTCTTTCTGTTTATTCGAGCCGGCAAAACAACCTTCCGAGGCTTGTAAGGACTTTGCCGCAAACTTAAGTACAACAATTCCTGGTGGCATTGACCCGGAAATTCCTACCCTGGTTGCACCTGTCACCTCGATCTGGTTTGACTATGTCCAATTGCAGCATTTCGACGGAAATGTCTTCAACGTTACGTTCCTCAGTAGCTATGTACGTCCACTTCTTTTGGGGTTGGTCGAGAGCTTGTACTGATGCTTGGGTGTCTAGCCCACGTTGAACGACACGGACCAGCCCTTCTGGACTTTCGTCCAGCGGGTGCCCTTCTTAGCTGAAGTCGGGTCTTCGGGAGATACGGTTGGGCTTGGTTTCTCTGGTGGCTTCTGGGGTGCAGGTCCGGGTGTGCCCGAACCTCAGGGTACAACGCTCGAGGAGCGATCCGAAGTATGGTTTGAGAAAGTCCAGCCATAGTACACAGTAGCGTATCTACTCCCCTATACCTTTCGACTTCAAGTACCAACCCATTGATTTCTTTCGAATTCATGGAGTTTTACCACTACCGTCTCATCCACTCTATTCAGTGATGCTCTATCCCTTGTATAGTAAGTCAGCTGTAAGCTTGAATCAGGACAGGGCTTGAACTTTGAAGACGAGTATTGGCTCATTGGACATTTTCCAGGATCAACGAGCTCGGGAGAGTGGCGCAGATCAAAGACGTCGCGATTACGACATCGCGTTTACGAAGAATCGTGACATGACGTTTGTGACGTGTGGCGTGAGTTGTGACAGGCCCGGGCCACAGATCTCTTCATGAACACCCACCATCGACATCTCCCCGGTACGCTATTAACCCTCGTAACGAGTCAGAACTGACACCCGTATTTGAATAGATTTCTTCATTCTTTGACGACACCCAGAGCTTCGCTGATCACTGCCCGTGGCCCATGGGGCCACGGTTTTGGGCCGCAGTTCTGGAATCGTGACTATATCCTCGACCTAGTAAAGCCCGTTTCGAACAAGGTCTACAACCATCGGGGCGGCCGCACTACACATCTCACAGCACGACCACCTATACATGATAACAATTCCATTGCCCACCTCAGACTTCGTTCTCCGCAGTGCCGCAGAATGCTATAGGGTGGAATCCCGTCTCGATTGTCCTCAGAATCGAGTTCCGCCCACACCGCTCGCGCCTCTAAGTTGCACTGACGTTTAAAACAGGCTTTTTTGTCCAATACAGTGACGCCTCAACATATCAAATTCGACTTGGGGCTATTTTGCGATCGCTCAACAGAACGTTGCGGACCATACCGAGTTCTGTCGCCTCAGGCATACCCCTATGGTAACTATTAGGTATAATTCTACGGCGGCGAATATTATCTCTAATAGGTCCCTTTCTCAGGGAATATTTCCCGGCTGAAGATATCCACTCCGGAGATCTCCGGCCATGCGCCAGTCGTCGCGACTGGATACCTCCAAGCGTTGGAGATTCCACTATGCTGGGGATTCCACTATGCTGGAGATTTCCAGGTTGATTTCGCTGGAGATATCCAACTTGGCCCAGGACCGTCATGGAGATTTCCGCGTCGACCATGCTGTAGATCTCCAAGTCGACCGTGCTGGGGCCTGGAGATTTCCAGGCTGATTGTATTGGAGATATCCGGCTTGACATCCCGGAGGGTTTTGTCTCGGATCTGTCGGTCTCGATGGCCTTTCAGTTTGCTGCAAGGACCACAGAGTGAGGGCCGTGACTAACTACCAAGACACGGCGGAAGGTGGCATTACTCAGGCTAACAGTGCGCTCGGGAATATCGACACCCCACGTAAGACTGTTAGGTGAATTTTACAGCGATGATACATTGTCTATCAGCCACAGTGTCGTTCGTTCTTGCTCGAACCGCCTCAATGCTGCGTCTCGGCGTGCAATGGGGGGAGTGGGGGGCCAATCGCAGCCCCAAATCATACCCAAGCCATGCAAACATTCGTCAGAAAGGAGACCCCTGCCACCCCACGGGACGTCACAAAACGCTGGATATCTCCAACGCCCAGAGAAGTCCAAGTCGGAGATCTCCGCAATGCCCGTAGTGGATATCTCCAGCCGGAAAACATTCCCCGGACAAGGGACCTATCAGGTAAGGTATAATATCCACCACCATCACAGATAGGTACCTTGGGGGAGGGGCGGGTATGCCTGAGGTGGTTCTGTACTTAAAATGAGACTAGGAGGTCTACCGAAGGCAAATTCGACACATCATGAGATCTCTCCTACCAGCATCACTGATTCTCATGCCACTTTGTGTATGGGCTCAACAAGCCCGTGTTCTCACACCAGAAGTCGACGAGTTCATTGAAGGCCTCCTCTCTCGGTGGGGTTCACCCGGTGGTGTCAGCGTTGCAATGGTCCAACTCGACCTCAGTGGTGAATGGAATGTCGAGACGAAAGGCTACGGAATCGCAAGGCTCGACGATGACTCCGTCGTCACAGATGAGACACTCTTCCCTATTGCTTCGAATTCTAAGGTTTGACAATTCATCCTTTCCAGGTGCTTCTCGCGAGATTGATGCTGTTCGTTCACGTCTAGCACTTTGCGGCTATTGCTGCTGGTCTGCTGGTCACGAACGAGAGCTTGACACCCAGGATCTCGTGGGACACGAAAATCGCGTCTCTGATTCCCTCTTGGGAGCTCGTTGACCCGATTGCGTCGAACGAAAGCTCCATAAAGGACTTGATGTCCCATCGCACGGGTCTTCCTCGACACGACTTCATGGTCCGCAGAGATGACACTCTTCCTGCGTTGGTTAGTGAACCTTGTTGTCTTGTATCCAATAGTTAAGCTGATCTTGCCGTACACCAGATAGAGCGCTTCAAATACTTGAAACCTTCGACCGAGTTTAGAGAAGTGAGCACTTACGCAACTGCACTAGAAGCGATACTGACTTGTGCTCGCCGAGACCTTTCAATATAACAATCCCATGTACAGCATACTCGGCTACCTTCCGGAAGTGGTTTCCACCAAAACCCCGCTGGCTCGGTATGTGAAGAGGAACATATTTGAACCTCTCGGGATGAAATCCACGACGTACTCGTTCGATGTTGCGGACGCCACTGGTCACTTGTCGCGTGGCGTGGCCCGAGAGAACCTGAGCCTCGCAGACGGTCTTCCTGGAACGGGAACCCCAAGACAGCTGTCCTTTTGGTTTGACAAGGGTGGAGAAGATGGCAACTGTAAGTTTATCCTCTAGATAAGCTCGGGTTTCCGATCGTACTGAGTCCCCGTCTGCTCAGTCCTAGCTGGCGCTTGTGGAATAATCACGAATGCCAGGGACATGGTGAGTCTGTCCTCGCTAGATGCTCTATACTATCTTCATCCATATCAAAATTAGGCCACATGGCTACAGACGTTGCTCTTGTCGGGTAAAAATCCGGGCACGAACGAGATAGCCATTCCATCTGAAGTCATAGAGATGACTGCGTCGGGCATCACACCAGTCTCTGGTGGTACTCCTTGGTAAGTATCACCTCCGAATGAACTCGAGATTTAACAGAAGTTCAACATGTTTCTGACTAGGCCACCAGCAGCACAAGCCTTAGTGGATTCCCCTATGTTCTATGGAGGAGGCCAATTGATTAGTACTTATCGGGGACACCGTAAGTTTCAAGGGGCATCATGGGCCAACTTATTGCTGATCATGGATCAATCGACAGGCATCGTCGAAGTGAGCTGGATTCTGAGCTTTAGAAAGTCAATGATTCACTGATTGCTCGGCCGTTCAGCACGACGGTCATGTTCAAGGTGAGCACAAGCCCCCCCCCAGCTTCGTAAAATGACACGCTCAAAACGGGTACATAGGTGGACAGAGTCGGATAGCGCGTCTTCCTTTCGAGAACATCGGAGTGGCGCTGCTCATGAACGACGAAGATATAGGCGGGGACTTGAACTTGATCATACAGTATCGTCTTCTAGACGAAGCATTGGGCTTGGAGCCATTTGACTGGGAGACCGTGTATGTTTCAAGGACACTGAAACCAAAGTATCTCACTCACTACGTGTTCACTTCCACAGCGTCGAGGTCGGATTTGGCGTCTCCAGTGATAAGCCCTCTCCTCACACAAATGCATCGGAACCTTCAATACCGGGCGGCTACGCTTCGATTGAAGGTACCTACAACCATCCGGCGTACGGAGACTGGACCTTCTGCTCGTTGGAACTGGCAGGTCGTCAACCTTCCGAGCCATGTAAGGACTTTGTCGCAAACTTGAGTGCGATGTTTCCTGGAGGTGTCAACCCGAACATCCCTACCTTGATCGCCTCCGTCGGCTCAGTTTGGTTCGACTATGTCCGCTTACAGCATTTCGACGGGAATGTTTTCAACGCTACGCTTCTCAGTGCCTACGTACGTTTGCTTCTTTTTTCATTCGGTGCTGTTCGCGGAGCTCGCACTGATACTTGGTGTCTCTAGCCCACGCTAAACGACACGGACCAACCGTTTTGGATTTATCCCGATACGGCGCCTTCTTTAGCTGAATTTGGACTCTCAGGCGATACAGTTGGGCTCGGCTTCACTGGTGGTTTCTGGGGTGCGGGAGCTGGTGTGGCGGAGCCCCAGGGTGCAACGCTCGAGGAACGCTCCGAAGTTTGGTTTCAGAAAATCGTAGAATAGTAATACATACTTTCTCCACACCTTGCGACTTGAGGACCGTCACCTGACTCTGCTACATATCTGTATGTCTCTGCAATAGATCAATGGTCTTTTCATCCACACAAAAAAATTGATGCATTAAGAGGGAATCGAACCCCCGGCGGGTCGAGCAACATGTCCTCGAATGTGGCAACGACCCAGGTTACCACTACCCCATTAATGCTTGCGATCATCCCTAAAACAGGTTGTATGAATAGGCATATCCTCATGTCAGTACACACAAGCTCGATCTGGTAAATATTCGATGTACAGTTCACATACTTTGCGTCTTCGATAATGGCTTGAATACCCTGAGTGCTGTGCTTTAGTGTGCACTGTGCTAGGTTCTCAAAGGAGAATACTCACTGATTGCGGGAAATTTTATTGTGGGAATTCCGTCAACCCCTTGCTTCCTCCGATCATCGTCACGGTACTGTTCGACACCGGCATAGCTTCCCCTCCCCTCCTCCCAATCGACCATGTTCTATTCTTCAAGTTTCAGCTTCAACTCCAATATCCTCAAGATCACGCGTAGAGTAACGGTCACCTCTAAGTTCCGTCACCCAGCCGCCCGTAGATTGGATCAGATTGTTGTTGTCACTTGCAGGTACGCACTCACCTCCCGAATGTACCAGACTTTTCGCTTGGATTGTATGCTCTCGTTTCTTTCGGGTACTACGATCATCATGATCATGAAATTTGAATCCCGGTGATGGTGTTGGGTGTTTCGCAAGTTTTTCCGTCTGCCGTGTCGCACTGGAGATTTGCCCACACATTCAAGGGCGCTCAACTTGACCCTGCAAGAAGAGTCCGGTAGGCAGTGCCGATCGGCAGAGGCTGTCGAAGTTAATCAAGTCGAAACCTGAGACCAAGATATGTTTGTGCTCGAAGGCTTGGTTTTGAATGCGCAAATTCCTGATTTCCTCATCCTCAATAGTGGCCTATGCTTATGTTGCTCCAGATTCACTCCGAGACGTCTTTAGACAGAAGAAATCCCAACATTTGCGGTGTTGCGGCAAAACTTGTGTGGCGGCAGTGCGGGATCCTCGGGTATGGTGACATGGTCCCAATCAATTGTATTCCCTGTCCAGCCCTGAAACGCCTACTACGGAGCAGCCAAGACTCGCTTTTCAAGTAGAAAGACCGGAAGCTGGAGTATAAGAAGACTGCACCTTCGTAGGTTCACGCCATTCCTCTTCCCTTCTTCAGTCATGCATTTACGGTCCTCTTTTGCTTCTCTACTGATTTTCACTCTTTCATCCACAACTCTCGCTCAAAATCTTCTCACACCGGAGCTAGATGCTTCCATAGAAGGGACTCTCAAGGGTTGGGGCGGGTACAGTGGCGCGGGAGTCGCTGTTGTTCGTCGAGACAAGGATGGCGCCTGGCAGGTCGAGACAAAGGGATATGGTTCTCGAGGTGACGGTGGAAAGGTCGATGCTGACACGCTTTTCGCGATCGGGTCTAACACAAAGGTACGATGGAACAATCAACGCGTCGATGGCGTGTGATATTGACTGAAGTCCTGTCGTAGCTGTTCAACACGATCACCACAGGACTTCTCATCATGGACGAAAACGTCACTCCACGAATTACGTTCAACACAAAGGTTGCCGATGTCATTCCTGGCTTTGCGCTCAGAGATCCGACCGCGAGCAAGGAGGCCACTATCCAAGACTTGGCCAGTCACAGAACAGGACTACCCACTCATGATTATATGTACACGAAGGAGGATAACATCGCGAGCATCGTAAGTTTCTTCTAGATGTCTCTCGACCTTCTCTCACTTACTCTTTCGTTCAGGTCTCAAGATTGAAAGACTTGAAGACCGCTGCCGGATTTCGCGAGGTCTGTTAAACAAGCTCAAATCAATACTATCAGTGCTAATCATCTTCGCTTTCGACAGGTCTTCCAGTACAGCAATATCTGCTACGGTGTCCTGAGCTATCTTCCCGAAGTTCTGTCCACTAAGATGACTTTTGCCCGCTATGTCAAGCAAAAGATCTTCGATCCCCTTGGGATGTCGCACAGCACTTTCTCTCACGATGTCGCCTTGAAAAGCGGTAATGTAGCGAGCGGCGTTGCCAGGGATAACTTGACGTCCGACCTCTCCGGGGCAATTCCTCGTGCAATGACATTTTGGGCCAATGATACTGAGGATGGCAGTTGTAAGTATCATCGAAATCTTCGTCGCTGTGACCCCCGGACTGATGGTCTAATCGATAGACCTTTCTGGTGCTGGCGGAATCATCAGCAACGCCAAGGATATGGTAAGCTGTCTCGCAGTGTCAAGTGGCTATCTCCCCATCTCAAACATTTTCATGTCAGGCGATCTGGCTTCAAGCTCTCATGGGCGACGGCAAGAACCCTTCCAATGGGCAAGAGGTCATTCCTCCCAAGGTGCTGGAAGACGTTGCAACGCCCTACTCCATCGTCAACGAGTTCAGCTTTGGCGCCCAATTTCCTGCGTATGTCACTACTCGCCCGCGGTGAAATGACTGTTGACAATTACGCTACAGAGGATCCGCTGAGAAAGGGATGTTTTCTCCGGTTGCCTATGGTGCCGGAGAGTTCACGAATTCGTACAGAGGACACGGTAAGTTGATATTATCAACATGTTGCGATTAGATACTGACGGCGCTCTACAGAGATAATTGAAGTAAGTATCTAACCTTGCACTGTTTGCCATGCACTTCGGATACTTACATTTTTCTTGTAAACAGCACGGTGGAGATGTTCCTGGTATGTCTGCTCGTCGTACCCATAATCTCAATCAACCCCCTGATCATGGCCACAGGCTTCCATTCACAAATTGCTCGTTTACCATATGACAACCTTGGTATCGCCGTTTTGACCAACGATCATGAATTCGGCATCCAAATCCGGGATATCATCAAGTTCCAGATCCTCGACGTCCTCTTGGGCTTACCACCTGCCGATTTCAACACCGCGTGAGTCGTATTCGCACAAACCTCTCCTTGTTCAAGTTTTCATACCAACGGCAATGCAATGTAGAGTGCAGAAGGCCCTCCAGGCCGGATTCAGTAAGCCCACTACCCCACGACCTTCTGGGGCTTCAGAGCCCACACTTGGATCTGTCGCTTCTCTCGCCGGCGAGTATGCTGCTCCTGGATACGGCAGCCCTCTCCGCCTTTGTGCATTCGTTCCTGGTCAGCAACCTACAGAGGCTTGCCAGAAGATGATCGCCGGGAAAGAGATTTTCAATCCTAAAGTTCCTACCTTGATCGCCGAGACGAATGCGATCCTGGCAACACACATTGCCTTGACACATTTCAACGGGAACATCTTCAACGTTACGACGGTAAACGTTCTGGTGAGCTACCTTTCATAGAGGTTGGATGTGTTTGTACTGATCACGATTGTTATTGTAGCCAACCGGAGACTCC